AACAGTGCATTATTTCATTACCGACTCGGCGCCAGCGACAATCAACAAACTAGGTCAGTTCTCAACCACATCAATGTGGTTCAGTGATACAAAAGACCCCTTTTCGCGAGCCCCCTCTGTCATAACATGGGACCACTCCGTCCAAGCCCAAGTCCTCCAGGAGCCTCGAGTCTGGATTTCCGGATTGAGCGACGAAGGCGGCGTGATCTATCTATCCACAGCGATGAAACAGTTCGCACTCCCCGTGGCGTCAGAGGTAGCAAAGCTAGAGCAGTTCGCATCGAACGTCCTATCAACAACTATCCAGAGGCTCAATTTCCACGTGCGCAAGAGCATCTTCTTCTACGAGCCTTCGCTAGTCCCGGGGTATCATTACAACCAGTCCATCGATTGGGGTAACTGGTGGTCATGGACCAAAAACGAATCATACAACACCCAGCGTGCATACGATTACATCCATGTCATCGGCGCGTACTGGTCTCTCTACCGAGCGGGACGAGACAATGGAGCCCTTCTCAAAGAACACCCGTGGCAGTGGTACCTCGGCCAAGCCTACAATACAACCGTCGCCTGCTTTGCCACCGACTCGGCAGGGAACGGGCTTGTGGGTTACTCCAGAGTGGGCCTCATGGGAGAGACTGTTGTCGGTGAGCTTCTTTCTGACCTTCGGCGTGAGAATTGGGACACCGAGGCAGATGCTGTTGAGGCAGCTATGAAGCTCAGGGCAGACGCTTGGAACTCGCAGGCTGTGCCTTATGGTAGTGAGATGGCTTGGGATTCAACTGGCCAGGAGGGAGTCTACTACTGGAGCAAGTAAGTGCTGCATTGCAGAAAAAACAAATCCTGGTTGGGTTGAGGCTAATATCGCAAGTTAGCTATTTCAATTTAACCCAGTCAACAACGAAGACGATTAACAGTATTCTGGGATACATGCCTACAGTCTCACACTGGGGTTGGAATGGAAATGCTCGCCGGTACTGGGACTTTATGTAAGGAGTCAGCCGCTATATCCTCCACGGAAGTCCGGTATCACTAACCCATTACATAGATATGCCGGCAAATTGGAACGCATTGAGCGCATGATCCACCACTACGGATCAGGTCTCAACTCCCTCCCCCTTCTAGCCCAGTTCCGCCAAACTCCGACAGACATCTACCTTCTCCGAACAGGCTACGGCGGAAACACAGGCCCTCTAACGAACATCCGACAAGATGGATCCATGTATAATGCCTTCCATTCTTTCCCGGAGACGCTCCGAGGGGACTACTACTCCGGAGACTACGGTCCCAATTTCCTGGGAATGATGCTGGGAGCTTGTACATATGTCGTTGACGATCCAGACTTCGGGCTTGTGGCTTATGGAGCTAATATCGCTGTGCATGGGAACTCGGTCACTGTTCATCCACGAGATGCGGTGCGTCGGCGGGTCTATGTTGCCTCGATGGGAGTTTATATTGAGGTGAGTGCGGGCTGGATTGAAGATTTCTCCTTGAAAAAGTCTGGTTCGGGGTCTGTGCATCTGCGTCTTGTGTCCGGCCCGTCAAAGGCGTCTTCTGCTATCATTTGGGTGGAAACTCCTGGGACGGAGGATCGGTATGCAGTGACTGGGCACGGGGCTCGTAAGGTAAGAGGTGGTTGGGGGGTGGAACTTTCTTCTGGGGAAGTGGAGGTTGTGGTATCCAAAATATAGGCTCATGATGATGGAGGCGAATATGCATATCAGCCCAGATCGGAGCTCGGATATCCAGATGAGACCATTTCGTGGTGGATACAGGACTGGTTGAAGCGATAAAACGTTGTAAAATGACACAAAGGCATTAATTCCCTGTTAATCGGGTGCTTTGGTTTCCTGCTACGCGGTAGACAGAAAACCTGCTGGACCTTGAAATGACGTCCAAAGAGGCGAATATCGCGGACGCAGGTCCACCAGGGTCGGCCGAATCGGAGACAGGATGGTCCTATTGAGCATAATTGTGGAGACTGGAGAGGTACAAATGTCGAGTTTGATTTCACAATTACCGTGTCTGTTGTCTAGTGGTGTGACATTTTTATGATGAAATGAACGGTTGATCGGTGGCGATTTTCCACTAACTTGGAAGCTCTTCGTCCATACAGGATTCGGGTTTCTGGAAAAGATCCATGGAAGCCAGTAGGTCCCCACGGCTTGATCTTCGAACTTTATTCTCTAGTCGTGACATCGTTGACCTGGAGATCGAGTTCTACTATGAAAAAGTTGACGCTGTGACTCACAGGCCCAATAGCTACAGTAGTGAGTCCCAGTGTATAGATACGGGAATCGATGATACGGGAATCGATGATATTTACTAAGTATCATACGATTTAGATCAAATAATTGAGTAGGAAGATATATATTATTATTTGTTTTGTTCTCCATTATTGTTGTTGTAGAGCTATTTACATTCATCCGTTTCTTTCTATCGTCATATTCATCATAGCGTAAGTCGTAAATATCGGTTGGAAGAGGGAGGATCGTTGATGTCGAGTCGAGAGGGAGGAAGTAGGTGCTTGGGATGTTAAGAGTTGAGGTGATCCGGCTTAACCGGCAATAGGAGTAACGGTGATGCATGTGCCGCCTCCAGACGGCCAGAGGTCCTTCGAGGAGATCTCGGTGATCTCGATACAAGGGCTCTTATCCAATAGTTCACTGTCGAGAGAGTGTTCTGGGGCTGGAGGTAGTGGCGACGAGGGAAGAAGCGGTGCAGCGTCGACCTCCATGTTGGAGGGAGTCTGGTCCTTAAAGTCGACCTCGAGGAAGTCGTCTTTTGAATCGCCGTGCTCCTCCTGCTCGTCTTCTTCGTCGGTATCTTCAAATTCGAAAGAGCTGATCTTCGAGCTCATGTCTTTCTCGGTCCACTCCACCGAGCCACAGTGCAGGCGGAAGTGAGCCACGCAGCGGCGCAGGTCCGGGTCCGGAGCGGTGGCTTCCCGGGCCAATTTCTCCTTGGAGATGACGGTGAGTTTGTATGGGAGGGCGTTGCGGTTGGCTATCGGGGGCCAGCGCTTGTTGGCATTTTTCATGGCTGGGACCGCGCGAGCCGGCGAGGGCGAGGCAGGAGCCGCGTGGACGCTGATTGTGACGGTCATGGTTGTTAATAGATGGAATCGATAGGACAATTTCAGTAGTCCGGAGAAGTTTTATAAATATTTCGGAGACTCTATAGGGGTGTGGGAGACATTCTCTGAAAATAATAAAAGAGGGGTCCCGCAAGCGAACCGGCCAGGCGCGTCTTATAGTCGTCAGCTACCCTTGGCCTTGATCTGCAGAACAGGAATGGACAACTATGGGGAACCTGGCCCGTGCACAGCACAGAGTCTGCCGGTCACCCGGTCACGGCCAGTTCTAGACCAAACGATGGCTTTGTGACTTGACTCGATCCATGATTCATTCCACCTATTAAACTCTTGTCATGATTTAATCCTGCACCGAGGAGGGAAGTGTCTGTCTCTCAATCTGCCCATTTTGGGCCTCCCCCAAAATGTGAATTTGTTGCCACCATTTGCGTGCGCCCGGCTTACGCATTGTCGGGGCGACGGGGCCAGAGTGGAGGGCCCCATTTTTTTGATCAGTTGATGCTTCGAAAATTTTTCAGTGGAGACTTGGTGCGTGTAGCTTATCTTGATGCAGCACTGGAAATAGAAACCGTGCCAGGGTGTACGTCTCCGGATTACCCGATTTGGCAACCCGGCCACCATCGTGAGCTTCAAACTGCCGAAACACGTCGAAGACGACCACGCGCCATGCTGAGCGCGACTTCATGGTCGCATCTGATAATCAGAACAGCCGTCTATCACACAAGCGGTCTATTATCAGGGAAAATAGCCATCCCAGTATGTACTAACACGCCAGCATCACGGCGTGTTCTGAGATGGACCCGTGACTCAGCGAGCCCTAGCATTCCACGCCGAGGTTGTATCTGTCTCCGACCCCATTCCGCGCCACTCACCTACTTCATTGAGTACTTCCGCGTGTTCCAGAAGCCCGCGAGTTCCACAACTGCATTCAGTTGCTCCCAAATCCTCCACCTCTCCGCATCTGGCCCTGTAGTAACTACACGTTGTTGCCCTGAGTGGTAATTCGGCCACAGCCTTTAGTTACCCCACCACCGGAGGAATGGGCCTGTCAATTTTCCTTTGTCGTCGACAGCTTCTACGCTGAATCATCAGGGCATTGTTCCAGAACCAAAACTCTCTTTGACACCGACTTGTCTGCAGCCGGCCAATCTAACTCAATCGGCCAGGTCGGACCCTGGTACGAAGCCCAGCTCCTCCATTATGGACTGCCGTCGTCGAAGAACAAAGCCGTGGCCAAAATGGGGCTACCAAAAGCTTCAAGGGCTGTTCCTTTGCTATTCCTAAGGGAATTCTCAAGACTGAGACAAATTTGAAAAGGCAGGGGAGAAAAAAAAAATAAAGAAGCTCGGTCGCCGTCCAAGAAGAGGGAGGATGATGGCATTGTCACAACTAAGGCTTCAAGGGAAGGGAGAGAGCCCGGTATGCAACTGCTCAGGTACCAGGGCTAGCCGTATTCGGACTATATCTGTTTTGGGGTCATGTTAGGGCGCAAACATGTCCCTTGTCAGAGTCAGGATAACTAACTACTTGTAGCTTATCTTGCGTTACCTGCACACTCCCTAATTCTGTCACAATTCCAACGACCGACCTCTGTTTAAGAAGGAAAGGGAGGATAAGGACCCTGAAAGGATCCATAGACGGTCTTTTCCTCTCAAAATGATACCACAGTTTTTACTGCTCAACAATGGAACGAGCCTAGAGCCTTTCGTCAACCGTCATAGTGGTCTTTTTGGCTGGGTTTTGGTAGCACGTGCGTGAGCGTACTCCTCGCACCTCAGGAGATTTCTCAAACGAGGCAATCCCAAGTCAAATCCAATCCGAATGCCACGGTACCTTATTCAAGCTTAAAATCAAGGGCCATTTTTCTGGATTCTCGACTAATGCAGGCCATTGATCGCCCTATCGCTCAAGCTATACGACAGTCCTCCTTTGGTACTAGAAAACCCATTCCGGGTTGCACGCTAACAATTTCTATGCCTGGCCAGTAGTGCTTTCTTTTGCGCTCAACCTCCTCCAAAACATCTGCGCTGAGAAAACTTTTCCACCGGACATATTGATCTGCTTCCGACTGTGGAGCCAGAAACATGAATTCATTGGATCCTGGATAACCACTCAGAAGGCCCAGTCCCTCCATGCGTCGGTGGTCCCAAATCGCAATGCCGAAGCGGCGGAAGACACGAAAATCCACATACCTCAGCGGTGAAGTGTACCACGATGAGAGGGAGGTGAGCACAAAGGAATATCCCCTGCTGCATGAATGAAGGGCTCCGGTCATGGACATTGTTAATAAGAGGCGCTTCATGAACGGAACAGCCAGATTGGCAGTTCCATTGCGCACTGTGCGCAAGTGATTTGACAGCCCTATATCTTTCTATGATCGAGGAAGAGGATAAAGCAGGAAAGAGACAGGTACAATCAGCCATCGTCCGAATTTGCTCTAAGATCCAATTCTGCAGAGCGTATTTCCAGACTTCAATGTTCAGGTCTTGTAGTCGCTCAACTTCACTGGGAGGCCAGCGCCAGCGACTAGTAGTTGCACTGTGCAACTCCCATGCGATCAAAAGCTGCCACAGAGCGCGAATTGCTCTCTGTTCCTCAAGTGCGGAGGGTGGACCAACATCGACTTGCTGGTATCGCTCTCGAGGTGCTTTGGGGACAGGGAAGTATTCCGAGTTCCGAATCCATGCTGTACGGTGTGCATTGCGAATATATTTCAATCTAGGGTTCTCTAGGCGAAATAACTCCAATTCCCTGCAGCGATCGATCATCTCATGCATAGCAGTGTGAGCCAGGTATCGTACCGTTGCGGCTGCAGCCATAATGTCGCAGAGTATTGACAGAGGCAGCTCTCGAGGCAACTCATGGACGTAGTTTGAGCTGTTCTTGACATATTGTTCAATGAGAGTATCCACGCTCGACGGAGCATGGGTATTCCATCGCAAGAAGGCAAAGTTACGAATTAAGATCTGGGTTTCTCGAGGTAAGCAGCGCTCTATGATAGCCTCTATGATTCGAGATGCTGTGCCTTCTTCATGGAGCAGGGAGAAGACCGTAGACGAGGCACGGTATAGATTGTGAAGAGAGGCAAGGTCTTCTAATTGCACAAGCACCATGCCCAGGACCGGCCCTGGTAAAACAGCGAAGATATTGTTGAGCCTGCCCATTCTTGTAAGGTGAGAAGAGCTTATCCCCTTCAAAGCTGACATGTTGGTACTTAGTAAGACATTGGAGCCTGCCGGCCTGAGGTGTCACCGCCTCATCGCCTTTGGTGAGCGCTAGGTGAGAGATAACTAACTTCATTGACGTTCTCTATATTGTCAATCTACCTGTTTTCTGAGATATTTGTTACGAGCGGGTCTCGAATGTCCCTTAACTCCTACGTGCTACTGCGATTGCTTAGTTGCGACAAGGAGATGTGTTGTTTGAGAACAGTTATACTTCTGGTTCAATGTGAACTCGACCGGCCCGTCCGCAGTCGCGCCTGAAACTGTTCATCTCGAATCGCAAACTGGGGCAGCATTGATTGATACAATCTTATCTGATAAAGTGCTGAGCCTTCATGGACGCTGGCGATGGCGACTTTAGCGCCCGTGGTTGAGGTATGGCGCCACAGATACTGTACGTCGCAGACCTGCTACTACAGAATCCAGTACTGATGGGCTTTGGAGATTGAATCCAACAAGAGATGATGAAATGCGCTTGCCTTTTTGACCATCATGGCTACGAGTCAGGTATACCGTCAACTTGGTCAGGCTGACCGGTGTCAATCTACCGTACTCTTCATTCTCAAGGGCCCCCAAGATCTACATACAAGCTACTGCAACAAGGCGAGTGACTTCCTCCTGGGGCTTCTTGTTACTCCGTAATTCTTTGGCTGCAGATCCCGCTGCAGAATGTCAATACAAAAAAAGGTCATCTGTTACTTTCAACCCATGCACGTCGCTTACCGGCCCGTTGGAGTCTGAAACATTCTTGACCGTCACTAGTGCATGGACGCGCGGGGGCCTCATCATCCCGGCATATTGCCTATCTTGGTGATTGGCAGGTCAGATCGACCGGGACGCTCTGCATGATGAATGAGAGGGCGCATCGCCATTGGGTCCCTTCCATACAGGGTGGAAGAAGTCAATCCACTCCGCAGCATTGCAACTTGAGAGAACTACATTTCCTCGCTTCGATGTCTCAACTTTGTTACATTCGAGGAATGAAAATTCCCTTCGCTATTATTGGTTTATTCTACGCCTGAAAATCATTTCGGAGTAACCGTCATGATCTGCGTGGTCGTATGTAAATCCCCCATGGAAACGACGGAGAACCGTGCACACTCCCACTTACTTGGGTCCAAGATTGCCGTTATGGCGTTATGAAAGCTTAAGATCGTTCGAGAATTCGTCAGCGTTTCTGTAATCGCGGCGAGAGATCACATATTCTGGCATCTAAACGCAACCTGTGCAACGCGTGGCCCTCTCGGCAGGCAGCGGTCCCCATGGATGCTCAGTATAGAACAGCAGTGCCTGTTCGCTGCCTTCTGCGATGCATGATTCTCGAACGTTCACATGCTCTAACATTTCGCCTTCCTGAATCTTGTTCCCTGTAGAATTATGGCTCATTAGTCTCCTGTGTCGCCCAGCAATTTGGACTGGACGTCGGGCTTGGCCAGGATATGTGTTCCCTCATTCCAGGTTGCCTTTTCTTCGGAGGAGCCTGGCCTTGAATTCAAACCTGTTTAATGGACGCGGAGTTGCTACCTCCATGCTTTTTCGCCACTAGTGCAGTGGTGTCTTATGTTGCCGTTGCATCCATAACTAGGCAGCCTGATATCCCCTCAAAGTGTCAGTCGGAGATTCTCAAGGTCTTAACTGACGAATAGGAACGATTTTTCGACTGGTGGATCTAGGTTTCGGACGCATCGAGAATAGCCCTTAATTCTGGGATGAGTCGGCATTTCCATCACTTCGTAGAGAGTATCAAGAGTGTTTCGTATCAGCCAAGCTGCTGCTTCAGATGGGCCCTACGTTATCAGGCTCGAGTCCCGTTCTCCTGCATTTGTTTGGATAACATCCCCGTCAGATACGCGTAGCGGGCCGAGTAGCATATATAACGGTCAGATCCAAGCCAGCAGCTCCGAGCTATAAGGAACCGTCATACAGGGACGATTCAATGCAAATATCTAAAAGTAGTGCTGCAGTCACCTTGTGGAACGACCTTCTATCTGTGCAACAGGGAAGAACCATCGGGGCAGAGCGTGTCAACGGCAGCGAGCACTGCAGGCCGGCTGCTGTATGACCGGGGAGAGGGCTAACGTCGACGCTTGGGGTAGTCGCGTCGTTTTTGTGCGACGGAGGAAGGTCTCGCTCCGCCTGGCACAGCCGTTGGAGGGGCTTCGAAGTCGATTCTCACCCAGATCGCATCATAAGTCCCCAGTACCGGCGGATGATTTGGAATTCGCCGTTCAAGGGTCAAAAAACGCATGGGCCGCTTGTGATCGACTGCCTAGCGCCCGCTCAAGTGATCGCCCGGTGCCGTCAGTCTCGTCTGCTTTCGAGTCAGTCAGCTGCCCTTTCCTCGAGCCAATCCTGTCATCGTAATAATACTCCTGTAGTTCTATTTCGTGGATTATGCTTCCAGATCCACGGCGATACAAACGGCGGATGTCGACCGCAACGCCGCCAGGACCAATGATCCCGCACGAGGCGAGCGTTCCCCGGCTAACTAGTGCGGATTAGGGCCCGCAGTCTCATTCAGGCGGACAAGATGCGGCCTGAGCTCTGGGCTTGCGATCGGTTTGGCTCGTCCTTCACGGACCTTATTGCCCGCGCCTCTCATTTGCTCGTCCGGGTTAGTAAAGAAAGGAAAACAAGAAATCCCGGCCTCTTGGCGCCGAAGGAGCCCTAGACACTGATCACCAGGTCTTTCGACCAACCCGGTCTAATCCGATTGCACATCGCCCCGGCGGGCGTTTTTGCTTCCTAAAGATAACTAACCCGAAGAGAGGAGATACTCGGTCTTGTCGGGCAATCTATTGTATACAGTACGGAGTATGTAGTTTTCAGTGTTTTAAGACATCTCAAGTTACACAATGTTGCTCTCTACCAGGGGTTTCAAAGGTCTATCACAATTGCTAGGCCCTCTGGTGCTGTGATTGGGGGCGTGTGGTGTCTAGAAGAGGAAGGCATCATGGACTGGGATTTGGCAACATGCGGTTTTATAGTCCAGGACCTTCCTGCATTGTTATGAGCATTATTTCCCCCTAGTCTGTTGAATTACCTCGTGATTTGAGGGAATCTTCCACGTTCTCCTGGGCGCAAGGGGATTTCAAATCAGGTTGTGTGACGGATGGGCGTCTTTGACTCTCATCATTTCTCCTTTTTCCCAGACCCTGCGTATTGGATGCGAGTCTCTCATCTTCTTCTACTCGGGCAATCTCAGCCTTGCTGAACCCTGCCCGCAAAGTTGCCCTGCCCCGTCCCGATCGGCTTCTCCGTAGAGTCTATCTGATTTGATCCCACACGTTGCCCTTCGACCAGGGACCCTCGCATCGTACCATCGCCCAGTGCCATCGGGCTCCGGATTTGCCTGAAGGGATGTTTTAAAAAAGAACGGTGCCAGAACACAGACTCCGTGGTCTTTTCCGTGCAGATTGACGCCTTGAAACTCCGATCCTCCACCCCCAACCAATCAGTTCTTGTCTTTTTGACCCCCTTGCAACCTTACCTTTCCCCCGTTCACACTCTGCAAGTCTTTTTTATCGCGCATTCCAAGGCGCGCCCAGCCCCATCTCTGTCCCTCTTCCCCCCGAGCCCCAGTGGCGGTGCCTGGCTGCCTCGTTCTCCAGGCCATCAATCTTCACCGCCTCTCGTTCCCGTTTCCCCCTCTCAGCCCAAGTTCGATCCTGCCTAACCTAACCAACCTAAGCTGCCGACTCTCGTCGTCTTTCTTCCCGCTGATCCTCTCCCCCAAAAGGCACGGCTCCTGCATGCAAGCCCCAGCCGCTTCTTCATCTTCTCTCTTTTCGTCGCGTCCGCCTGACGCGCCTTTTCTCCGCCCACTCTTTTGAACCCTTCCAATACCCAGTTATGTATGGCACGCCTCACTCTCTGTCGACGATGAATGGAATGGGAGGCGATGTCGTCGATGGCTCCGGGACCATCGATCCAGCAGCCCTGAGCAACTCCGGTACGTTTACCCTTTATCTTCTTTCTCTCTGGTTGTCTTTGTACTTTTTTGGTCTCCCGGGTCCGTTGCGACGCGGCAACCTCTTGGCGCGAGCGATCACTTTTTGCGATCGGTCAGCGAACGGCTCGTGCCTTTCTATCTTTCACTAGCCCTCGGTCCCTTCCTGATCGCCAACCTTCAAACTGATGGCCCTCCTAGTCTCTGGTGCCATGCCAGCGCCGTCCCCTGCAGAAACAAGCCCCCGTGGTGTGAAAAGAAGTCGCTCGCCAGAGCACAGCGGGAATGGACAGGCGGGAGATCAGGATGATGGTATGTGCGCACTAGGGGGGCTCTCTTTTGCGACGTTTTGCGCCGTGGGAGAGCAGGCCTCTCTTTTTCTCCATGTCGTTCGCATCATCTTTTGCGCGCCCCTTAGTCATTGATCGCGGCATTCATGTCCTCGGAGAAACACGCGCTAACTTATCCTGCTTTCTAGAAGATCACAGTCGTCGCAAGCGCGGTCGTCCACCCAAGACCCCTCGAGCAGAATCCACCGACCAACAGCCATCCATAACAACACCCGTTCAGACTCCTCGGATGCAGTCGCATTCTCTACCCCGGCAGAATGCCACGTCGCCGGCTCTCGCGTCGCCTCCGGAGAAGATTACGCCAAACAAGACGCAAGTTAAAGCGCTTCCGACGGTGCGGGACCATACTTCCGACCAGCTGAATGAAGAGGGCGACGAATATATACCAAAGGAATTTGACGAAGCCGGAGAAACCAAAGCGGACGCCATGGGATACCCGCAAGGTGGTCGCGAATATAAATGCCGCACGTTCTGCGTACCGAACCGGGGAACGAAGCTATTCATGCTTGCGACAGAGTGCGCGAGGGTGTTGAATTATCGCGACTCGTATCTTTTGTTCAACAAGAACCGCTCCTTGCATAAGATCATCGCCTCTCAGATTGAAAAGGACGACCTTATTCGGCAGGACATCCTCCCTTACTCCTATCGATCTCGCCAAATCGCCATCGTGTCCGCCAGATCTATGTTCCGACAGTTTGGAAGTCGCGTGATTGTCAACGGCCGACGAGTTCGTGATGACTACTGGGAGAGCAAGGCACGGAAGCAGGGCTTCACCGAGGATGACCTGGCAGGAGAGAAACGTCCCGGAGCCACCAAAGCCCGTGATGGAGCTGCAGCAGAAACCGCTAGCTCCAATCTTTTGCCGACCCTACCCCATAACGATGTCATTTATAGCAGTGTGATTGAGCCCCTGCCTCCAGGCCTGTCTCTCGACCCCAATTCGACAGTTTCACTCGCTTCGCTCCCGATGATTCATCTGGCCTCCTCAGACGACCCCCGCCTACACGAGTATAACAGTGTATCACCTTCGCGTCAAGAACTGACGGGCCAGCCGTATCAGGACCGCACTCAATCCAGTTCAGCGGCCGAGATTATCAATCAGGCTTCCCACACCGCCGACTTCAACAAGGTCTTGAGTTCACAGCGCAACTACCGCCAGAAGGGTCTGGACGAGTTCTATACGACGCCACGGGAAGCCCCCGCCCCAACATCCCAGGGACAGTCTGGCGTGGACCCAGGCATATCCGGATCGCAACAAATCCAACCCTCGCAGATGCCTGCAGGGATGGCAACCCCTGTTCATGCGCAGAACATGCACCCTCACCAAGCCTCGATGATGGCTGGACAAGCCAACTATGCTCAGCAAGCCCATCAACAGGGTATGGGGCAGTCGCCGGTCCGGGGCATGCACCCAGGGATGCAACAGCACCTCATGCAGCAGCGACCCAATCCAGCAATGGCAGCACAAGCTCCTTACGGATACGCAGCCCAGCAGCAGCAGCAAATTTGGGGTCAACCGCCACCGCAACCCACCCAGATGCCTCAATATAGCCAGCATGGTCAGCAAATGCCTATAGCTCCGCAACAGGCGGCCTCACCCCTTCACCATGGCCAACAGCCTCATCACCCTTCTCAGTCGCCTCGCAACCAACAACGGCCGTCAGTGCCACAAATGCCACAGCAATACCAGATGCATCACCCGCAAGCCGCGCAAGGACAAGCCATGGGCAACATGGGATTTCCTGGGGGCCAACAAGCGAGCTACAACCCCGCTATGGCACGAGCAATGTATCAAGCATCTCAAGGCCAGGGAGGGCAGCAGCAAGCCTTCATGGCTGGGAACCCGCAGCAGGCGAACTATGCGATGGGGATGGGAGGCGGCGGCATGCCTGCAGGGTGGCCCGCTGGTTCCGGTGGTCAGATGCAGCAGCAGCCTGGCCAACCTCAGCAGGGTCAGTCAGGAAGCCCGTTAGGTGGATGGTCAGGCTACTAGATCGCGGTCGGCGTTGTCTAGATTGGGCGTTTACGGACTTTGCAAGCATCATCAACGATGTTGTCTCATTTTTGCTATCTACTCTTTTTCTTTCTTCTTTCCTCGCCTTTTTTCATCGATGTTCTCTCCTCTTCCAAACTGCATCGCTTCGTGTCCGCCTGTGTTGATCGTGAAGGGATCTTCGGTTAATGTTAATCTGGGCTAGCCTTCCTATACCCTTTGCTGTTCCCTGGTTGCGTTCCGGTCTTAACTGGTACCTTTTTGTTCTATTTTCTTCCGCGGCGTTGTTTCTTACTACTTGGAGTTGAAACGCTTGCCATTATCATCTGGACAGAGTGCTACAGGAACTATGACTATGTACGCTGGTTACTTGTTACTTTCTTGCCATACGGGTCGATAGAGGGGGTCGAGAGAAACTTCTCCATTTCCGCTCTCCCTCTCGACCTTTGTTATGTTTTTTATTATTACATCTCTTTTCGTTCCTTTGTACGGTGCTTTTCTTGTCCCGTGTATTACCGTTGGTCTTTTTTTTGGGTCTCCTTGAGAATCGGATATCCCGGCTCTCTTCTTGCTCTTCTTCTGTCTATATTTTATCTCTTGTTCTGTGATCCCTGGTTGAAACGCAGAAGATTCAGTGCTTTTTGTCTATGCTTTTTTCAACCTGGCTGTCCGGCTGCGTGTGTGTGCTTCCAGGTAGCTTCAGATTGACTGTGATACCTTTTTGCTCCATTTGATTCTGGGTAAGATGACTTTACCATATATTTATTCCAAGGCGATGCGAATAGAAATAACCTGATACTTTTATGCTTTTCTTGTCGGTAGCATTATGCTCAATGTAAGTAAAACCAACCAAACCCAGCGACAAAAAAAAAGATACATATATATTATATATGGGTTGCATCCATTCAAAGCCAAAAAAGTTCGTCCCCGGGAAGGCTCGAACTTCCAACCTCCTGATTAACAGTCAGACGCGCTAACCAATTGCGCCACGGAGACGGCCACTGATAGGTTCGTTGCCCTATAGCAAACTACTACCCAGAATCAGGCTGGTAATGCAAATGAACACTTGGGATGAATTACTGTATATTAGATAGGCTTGGAGACAAGTAAAGATCTCCTTCAATAGTAACACAGATCGTGCTCCCACACGCTTTCGAGGCTATTGCTTTGGCTTTCTTAAAGCCTGAGATGAGCCTTTTGTAGTGGTGATCAAAAGATATATATTTCGCCTTACTTCTTTTATTCCAAGTTCGTCTTCGTTTTCAGACTACCGCCGCGTCATCCAGATTTTGATTGTCGCCCTGTTATACAACTCTCAATTTCCAGTAAACTCTTCCACAGCAAAAATCGCCTCCTCAAAGGAAATGAGATATTTCTCCTGCGGCGTCAGTCCATGGTCTGCCCCATTGACTTCGATCAAGCGCACGGGAAACTCAATCCGCCACCGCCCGTGAGTCCGTCACCGGCGCCACTGTGTCGGCAGTGCCGTGTATGATAACCGTAGGTGAGCTAGATTAAGTAGCAAAAGACATTGCTACACGTGCTCAGTGGCTGATCATGCCGGAGCTTGGGAGAATCGCAACAGCCATGACTCGTACTTCTGAGTTGACATTCGAAGAGAAACTTCTTTTGTGGAAGACCTTCACACCCTTTGTTCTCGTAAGAAGGATGTGGTCTAACTTCCGGATGAAATGCCAATCAATGGTCTTCGGCCTGCCTTTTGACTGAAAGGCTTTCAATTGCCTTAGCCTCTATAGATAGGACAAACTATTGGGAGGACTTGGATACCAAAAAGGAGCCGGGGATCAAATTCAAAGGATAATAGTGCCATCAAAAGAGCTTTATACTAATATTATGTCTAGGACTTCGCGATATTCGACGAATCAGTGAGCAAGTTTTAAAGGCTAAAAGAGCTACAGAAATAGCTCCTTTCAATACGACCAGGTCAGGTGACCAAACGGGAATGCCAAGAGTTGCCGTTGCGCGGAATTTTTGAGCGGGGTTGGAAGCCTTCGTGCACGCTGTTCCTTCAAGGCACAGATACTGCAGCATGACTATGGCATCTTCCGATTTTCTACAACGTGGACTTGGTCCAGTACTAGCTGCCACACCGGCGGTTATCTTTGGAGTCGTAAGCGCCTCTTGTACAGGGACGACTGGTTTGTTAACATCAATCTAGGTCTCACTATATCTTATCTATCTTTTCTTACTTGGCATTTACAATATATACTTTCACCCTCTCAGCAAGTTTCCCGGACCCAAGCTAGCTAGCGCTACAGAGCTTTTCGCCGTCTTCTATTTCGTGCGTGGTCAGCGGTTGAAGTTTAGCCAGAAGCTTCATGCACAATATGGCGAAGTGGTCCGCACAAGACCCAACGAACTATCCTTCGTTAGCGACCATGCTTGGAAGGATATATATATGCATCGTCAAGGCCACAAGCAGATGCAAAAAGATGGTATACCTGTTAGACCAAATCAAGCACATGCTATTACTATCGCCCCTGACGATGTGCATGCCCGCGAAAGGCGCCTCCTATCACATGCCTTCTCGGAACGAGCGGTAAGAAGAATAAGACACCAAATTCCGCTCTCTAAAATAACATAGATTATAGCTTCGAGAACAAGAGCCGTTGATTCAGGAGTATGTTAGCCTCCTCATCAACAATATGCGAGAGGACGCAAAAGAAGGCAGAGAAGTCAATATGGTCCAAAACTTCAACCTTACTACTTTTGACATTATCAGCGATCTCTCTTTTGGAGAATCCTTTGGTGGCCTTAGGACCCGGACAGCACATCCATGGATAAAGGCATTCTTCGACATGGCGACAATAGGGACTATCATGACTCAAATAGTACTACTGAAAATTCCCCTACTCTCAATACTATGCGGACTGCTGGTCTTGCCCATGTTGAGAAAACGGCTCAGGGTTATGAGCTATACTAAGGACAAGATTGAGAAACGCATTGAACAGGGAAGTGATAGGCCTGATTTCATGTCATATGTGTTGAGATACAATGATGAGAAAGGGATGTCAAAGGAGGAGATCCAGGCGACTTTCAACGTGCTCATGATTGCTGGCTCTGAAACCACTGCAACATCACTAGCTGGATGCATTTATCTGCTTCAGAAGCATCCCCAGGTTCGGCAGAAGCTACATGCTGAAATTAGAGACACGTTTCTGGATGCCAAGGAGATCACTATGCTCAGCGTTAGTCAGCTAACATATCTGGATGCGGTCATCAAGGAATCACTTCGACTCTATCCACCAGTGCCAGTCGCCTTGGGTCGTATAACACCGCCAGAAGGCGCAGTTATCTGCGGTCACTGGGTCCCAGGCAATGTATAGCTACTTCAAACACGTTTATCATATCAGCTGACAATCAACCAGGTATCTGTTGGCATTCCACAATTCGCGGCGTATACATCTCCCCTCAACTTCGTACAACCGGACTCATTCATACCAGAGCGTATGCTCTATGAACATGACGCGAAATTTGACAAGGACCGGAAGTCTGTTCTACAGCCTTTTTCCGCTGGACCTAGAAACTGTATTGGCAAGAAGTGAGTTCCAATGCAATACATCATAGAGAACCGAGCTTGGGGTTCACTAACAAGCCAATAGCCTAGCTATCGCAGAGATAAAACTAATTCTTGCTCAAATTATCTTCAACTTTGACCTTGAGCTGGTTGATAAAAAGTCGAACTGGTTTGATCAAGAGGTTTATGGCTTGTGGAGGAAGCATCCGCTGATGGTTCAAGTCAGAGACATCAGAGTATAAAAACCACCCATGGCAAGATCCCGTAGGCTTCTATAATGATTTGATAAATATACGCTTTGTCCCATTGGGTGACAGGGTAAACGAGGCGGGTGTACTCTGCATGTGCGTTCATAATTACAAGTACTAGCCCAGCGGAAAGACTACATAGCTAGAGGTTCTGCACAAACTGGGCAACCTTTGCCGCGACGCCCCAAGCGCTCTCCTCAAACCCCATCAGTTGGCCAATCAAGTACGTATCGTGGACCGCGTCTTCTTCATTATGTAGTTCCACTACGTTGCCCTCAACTCCGCGCATCTCAACGGCCCACCGTGTTATGCGCTCGAAGAATAGCTCCGAGGTTCCCACATTCACGAACAGGGGGACAGGCGTCGGAAACGGATTGCCTAGCTGCGTGATGTACGGATTGGCCTCAGGCTTGGAACAGCTGCCCGCATAGGAGTATGCTCCCCAGGCTGTGCGGTCATATTAGCTTCGTGGTAGGGAGGCTATAGTTAGGGAGGAAGGGATCGCTCCACTTACCACCGTACGTGCCTGGCACAAAGTCGGTGCTGCGCTGCGGGTTTCCTGTCGGATTCAAATAGAACGGGTCGACCCACGGCGATAGCAGCACGGCGCATTTAGGTGTCGGTGTCTTGATAGTAGATCCAAACTCGTAGAGATAGCGCAGCAGGGCCGCCGCGAGATTGGCGCCGGCGCTGTCGCCGGCGAAAATGATCTGGTGCGGCAGGATGTTAAGTTGGTGCAGGAGAAACAGGTAGCTCGACAGCGCGTCTTGCAGTGCGGCTGGGAATGGATTCATGCCCCCGTGGCCTGATAGACGGTATTGTAAGGAGAAGACCGCATCGGCGGTCCCTTTGTCGAGAAAGTACTTGGCGATGGGTCCACATTGCTCCGTCCGCCCGTCGCCTTGGACGAAGGCTCCTCCGTGTAAATAAAGCACGACAGTCTTTGAAGTCACCTGCGCTCCAGGGGAATCCGGATACCAAGTTCCTCCAATCTTGGCGGGCTTGATAGCCTTGGATGCCAGTGGTCCTTTGTAAACATCCAAAGTGGACACTGGAACCGTTTGGAACCTCCCACCCTCCTTTCCTGGGTCCAAAGTGAGCGTCTCTGTGATTCCTACCCGAGACACAGCATCTAGCAACGGATAAGTGATGCGGGTCATGAAGGTCTGCTTCGCGCTCCATTTCCTGTTTGCCCTAAGGAACGGGATTAAAGATATAGTGGCATAGTATGGGAGGCGCAAGATGACCACGACGATGTACGACAGCTGGAAAAGGAGCCTTAGCGGTTGGTACGATACCAGGGGATGTCCGTTTCGGGCTGTCATCTTAACGATACTGTAGAGAGACTTTCCTGTAGAATGGAGATAATCAGTTTCAGCTTTCCAAAAGAAATTAAAGTGAAAAATGGAAAAAGAATATAAAAAAAAAAATAAAAATAAAATAAAATAAAAATAAAAATAAAAATAAAAATAAAAATATTGACTAGACGGCAAGGTGAGAGTGTAGTATAGCTTTTTCTTCCACATACTATAATGTGTGTATTAACACTTCTCACGTCTTCTCTCGAGGCTATGGAATACTCCTCAACGAAAAGTGATTGATGGGTCGCAATTGACACGCTACTGGGGTTTATCTGGGCTGGCGGCTAGGCAATGCTGTGGAAGAAGAGAGCAAAAGTAGAGTACTTCTGCAATGTGGAAATTGCCCTGGGACGCCTAAATTCCATAATGGGAGATCAGGTGACCAGGATGCTAGTAAAATACTAGAGTTTTTACCCTGACATTCTCTAACAAGTGGGAAAGCTCGTTTCCTAGTTGGGCCAGATTTGGTGCGATTAAAAGGGTTGAGGACTAATGGCGTGCCTCTCCTTGCGTTGTGAATTAAATGAGGGACCATGATATGTACATCATGTTTAGCTTTTGTGCACTTCGGGCACGCCTTTCAGAAACGTTTCATCGGCTGGTCGCTTAGCGCAAAACCTTTCTTTAATTAGTATAGCGTCCCTTCCTGGGATAGCGCTCACTAAGTGCTCCTGTGACTAGACTGAGCATGATCACTGAGCATAACAGCGTGCTGACATTTACTCAGTGAGCCGGGGGGTGAGCACCGTTACGGAAAGGGCGGCCGCCCGGATAGGCAAGCGCCGCCTGGCAGAGGAGATCCGTAACGTACAGGTGCTACAGGTGCATATATAATCATGTAGTTGTGAACACAAAAATTGATGATATTATATACATCCTCCTCCTGGCTGTCAGTGACCCTATGGGACTACAGCAGCATGGAGCTGTGTGTCAACCAAGTCGAACCATACACCTCTAAATCCAGACTCCCTGGATGCTCTGACCTGCTTGACAAATCCTTGGAGCTTTGCTGCACATATACTTTGAACGGTATATGACGATAATTTTTCCAGGATTTCCTCCCCTGGGCCTTCGATCTCCAGCATGGCCACTATCAAAGGGAATACCACAGGCAAAGCTGTCGCGTCCTTGGCGGCAGCTCGGGCAAAGTATGATAATTCAGAGATGATGCTATTCGCTAGATCTGTTGCAGGACCATCTTCGACTCCAAATGGACATCGCAGTCGGTGGATGATTAATAGAGCCGCAAGGCAGTAAACCTTTGCTTGGGCCACCATGATCAGGATTTCATGTTTCCCGTACTCGGTGAATAAACGAGCAGGGGTTTCTGGCTTCCATTCCCTGATTGCTTGCTCTATATCAGCGAACGAGTCGTGGACCCCTGGGCGAGGTTCGGATGTCGTGTCAAAGCCAGCTTTCTTCAGAGCATTGCTGCGCTCGCAGAGATCGTATAGATGAGGTAGGAGAGTGGAACAGAGGCCCACATAACGATCGACAACAACACGGCCTGGAATCACGAGTCGGACGATGGGGACTTCACGGCGCACTAAGCACTCGACTGTATCTATCAGAATCGGGGTTACGATCACAGTGTCCATGGCAGGAAACCGGATCAATCTCGGATACCATTGCTTGGTCGTGATGAGCGAGCTCCGCACGATGGAATGGGCTGTAGTGGAAGTGGCTGCAGTGAGTACATTAAATACATACATGGCTTGGCCAAGGAATAGGACGCAGGCCGCATCATATTCATGCATGATGTTCACATTCTGCAGGCGTTGCAGGCCCTTTGCCGCTTTATACAAGTCAGGCTCGCCTCGGCGTAAGACAAGCGACTTCTGGTAGCGCGTCATTAACCCCAGGAATGCCAAGTATCCTTCAGTCATAATTGGCGCTGACAAGCGTAGAGCTGCATAGGCCGCTCTTCGGAAGTCAAGGGTGAAACTGTTTCCCAACATAAACGGCATATGTATCACGGTGAACTGCTCCACATCCTCCACTGTGCGCAGTGCATCCAAAGTAGTTCGCAGACTGGTCGGGGCGGCAAGCAGCCGCTCTGGCATCATTACCGGAACATCTCCACTACCTGCCTTGCGTTTCCAGACCTCTCTCGTCTCGGACGGCGAGGCAGGCTTCGAGCGCGGACTGGGTGTGCGAGAGAGATGGCGGGTATTTGTATCGGCCGCGCTGCATTGTTGTGGCTCGATGCTCCAAATTTGCATTTTGCCATGTGGAAAGGATTTCGCAGAGGGCCGACGACCTACGCGCCTGTTTCCTCGGGACATCGTGCACACGATTTTCAGACGACGGCATCTGGCGCATGTCTGTTGGTCGCCGGTAAATGAGCACTTCTCTTTGCTCCAATGGCAGTGGTCGCAGGCCCTCAGAACCATGTTCTCAAAAGAGCAAGGTGGATATAAGCATGAGTTAAGGAGGTGTGGTCGAGTATCTACCATCGATCGTCGCGTGTATACCCCGCATTCCCCCTTGTGTGATCCCACGCTTGCATGACTAGGAAGAAAAAAGAGATATGAGAATACATTCTGATATGGTCTAGGAATATAGAAAGATTGGTGCCATTTAGCCGGTGTTGGCTGTCTGACGATTTCCCATCGGTTTTGAATCAAAAGGGGTACACCTAATATTTAGAAATCGTAGTGGAGTAATCACAGAGAGATGATACTCCAACTGGATATTTTGCCAAAAACCGCCCTGTTGCGCAATATTTTTCTGCTCTCCGGTGTCCGTGTTGTATGTTGTTTGCATAGAACCCGGTAAATCTCTGACCAGGCGGATAATAATATATGCCACGAAAGTATCTCGCTTTTAGGGTCTTGAGGCAGTTACTTCCCCCGCCTCATTAGGGGACGATCCAGTTCATCACCGCAGCTAAGCCAATGGGTCTGTGCGGGCTTTGTTGTGGAGGTCCCAGGCCTTGCGCCGATCGTGGTGTGATGAATGTGGTAAGAACTCCCCGGCCCTCCAGTCATCTCGGCCGAGCGGTCGTTTGTTTCTAACCGGATATAGCAAAGAGTGTCAGTATTAGACAACGTCGACTTTTGAGATACTTAGAACTGGTGGTCTTCGTATATCGGAACTTACCCTGCATACCTGTGTACGTGTTTTCAGAATTCACAGGATTGGTATAGATCGCCACTTAGAAAGGGGCGCAGAGCCCTATGGTATTGTCATGTTCATATCCCATGCCTATGACGGATCAGAGAACTTAAATCGGTGTGGTTCGGTGTGGTGCTCGTGCCCCAGAATGCATTTAATGACCCCGTTTCGACTCCCTAACCTCGTTCTCTGTTTCAATCTCTAACTGGATTTGCAATCCGCTCGATGTTACCAAAAAGGACTAACAACATTAGTTCTTCTTTGAATTTCAATCTTACCTGGTTACTAGCTCTCGAACAAATTTCCAGTCCCCTTTTGCTTGACCAAGCCCGTTGGGAAATCAGGAAATATGCCAGCGACAAAGAAACCATCGAGATCTTTCCAAAAGCGAGCTCGAAGGGCATGTGAATTATGCAAAGTCGCAAAAGTACGCTGTAATGCCGTTGAAGGAACTCCATGCGATAAATGTGTGTGGAGAGGTGTCAAATGTGTCGTTGATGAAAGAAATCGGCGAAGGTAAGATCCCAATATTGAAAATATAAGGTTGCAATCGCAAGAAGGGACTGAGTGGTTTCAAACCAATTCCGTTTCCAGACCCCTATGCCTAACTCGCAGAAGATATAGACAGCGAACACAACCTAAGGTGTCTATGGTGCTTTCAATGCAGTCTCGAGCAGAATCGTCCCCTGAATGTGCCATAAGCATTCAACAGTTGAAGACCATGTCTCAGTACCCGAATACCAGTAAAAACCGCGAAAATTTATTGCTATCTGAGTTGAGTGAAGCCAGTTTTACTCCAACTTGTGAGTTCTACCAAGAGCCTCAATAGTGGATGGTAAAGATCATGAGCATGATGTCTAATAGGATTCTTATTACCTTCGAGCAGATCAACGATCAAATTCCCCCGATATGCTCCTATTTCACGATTCTTTTGGAGAACATTTTCGGAACACATCCACCAACCTGAGTAGTCCAGGACCCTCCCCTACTGAAACATCAGATTTGGCGGCCTCTTTGCCAGGATTTATCAGGCCTCTTCCCTTAGCGTTCAGTCCAGCAAAGGTTGAGTACCTTCAGACACATGGAGTTTTGACACTCCCAAGTATTCCTCTTCAGAACGCTCTTTTGCGGACGTTCACTGAATGTGTTCTCCCTTGCATGCCCGTCATCGAATGGCACAGATTTGTCCATATCATCAATGGCCGTGATGGCAGAAAAGGATATATCAGCTTGCTCCTCTACCACGCTGTGATGTTCTCGGCAACAACGTTCGTGGATTTTGAGCACCTTCTCGAAGCTGGTTACTCAAGCACACGAGAACTCCAAGAAATGGCCTTCCAAAAAACAAAGGTCCGTGACCAACAATACCGCATTCTGCAAGCTAACCAGTATATAGCTTCTCTATGAATCGGATTACGAATCTGATGAACTCATTGTTATTCAAACACTTCTTCTCATGACTTACCGGTCTGAAACAGCAGGTGAGAATGAGATCAAGCAATGGCTTGACCTCGCAATCTCCATGGCTCAAACAATTGGCCTTTTCCAAAATCAACTAGGCACAGAAGACTCCTTATATTCTCCAAGGATGCGGAAGAGGATTGGCTGGGCATGTTACATGACAGATTGTCAGATTTCGCTAAGGTTGAGATGTCGGCCAAGTATCAAAAAAGAGGGCTTCTATCACCCGATGTTAACATTGGACGACTTTGAAATCTACACCCAATCTGCAGAGGGCCAACGCCTAATTAATGGGTGCCCCCTGGCTCGGGACATCAAAAAGCAGAGAGATCTGGCCCTCATATGTGTCTCACACGCTCGGCTGTGTGTATGCATCAGTGAGGTCCTGGAAATCCAGGGTAAAAATGGTCAGTTGCACTCGTCCATCGCAGCTACCACAATGCCTATCAACAGGAGCAAAAGCTCTGCCTACGTGGCCAGGGCTATTATATCTGACAGGGCGCTGACAGACTGGACGAACTCCCCCCCCCGTCCTGCCAGTACCGACTGTTGCATTCGGGAGACAGCAGTGACGGAAATTCCACACTTTTCGTACAACGTAGCCTTCTACACATGGTCTATTACACGACCATTGCGGTTCTACATCAGTCCCAAATATTCCCATCGTCGAAGATCCGCGTCCACGACGCTGCTCACCAAATAACCCGGATTGCATCCGAACTGCACAAGAGGAGACTGCACAACTGCCTATCTATCACTGGAGTCACCGCCATCCTAGTAGCCATGGTCATCCATATCTCCGTGATGAGAGTGTCGCTGTTCCTGCAGAGAGAGGAAGCCATGGATGACTACAAATCATGTATGGTGGTGATGGCTAGCCTACAAGATGTGCATTCAGAAGCGAACGCTGTCACAAATTGGATGTTCAGAGCAATGGCGAGTGTGGCATTGGATGGAGGTCCAAACTGTCACGGCCAGGATTCTGAACTTTCTCTGTCTGGCGACCTTACTGTCAACCCCTCATTCTTGCATTCCAATATATTTTTCAATTAGCGTCCATCCCGCATCTAAACTGATGAGGATGCTATGAGTAGCCGAGGAAAGCATGGAAGAAGCTCAGAAAAATTGGGGTCTACATTCAAGAATGTCAAAAGAAAACCATGAAGAATGAATGACCGAGTTGGTGGTGTTGCGTGGAAGATGAAACTTTGATTACGTCTCTTATGCTGGCCCTCCTCGGAGTAAGCTGCTCGAGATGTTTACGCCTGACTCATTCATTGCAACCCCATTGTACTCTATAATTTTGGCTAATTAGAATATGGGAGACGTATACAGCTACAGGTTGAGAAGCAGCTATTGCAGAATAGAGGAAGTGACCTGAACTAGGTTTCAAGAACATAACATCGTTGTGAGATCGCACTTATAAGATAAAATAACACTTAAATAATTCTGGCGGGTATTAAGAATGCACAAAACGTATAGCCTCTGCTCACCTCGTACAAGCTTGCTCTAGAACTGGCAATACTCCGAAAACAATGAAGATATTTCTGCTTACCCTACTGAAGAACGCAGAGTAATAGTAGCGCCAACGTCAGTCGTAGCATTTGCCACGAGCATCAAATATACACAAACTAATTGTGTATAAGAGGGGCAAAAACAACTACAACCATCACAGAAAAACACGACATTAGGCGGAGATGGTAGGGATATCTAGGTTTCAACAAAATCAAGCATCTTTGACAGGCGACATAGCGACCTTTGTGCCATTAAAACTTGCCATTGTCAGAGTCAATCCTTCCTCAAATGACTTCGGGTCCCGGTTCTCGATTGTCTCGAAGTGTTGCATGACTCTGACCGTGGTGTATCCAGCCTCGGTCAGGGCGAACTGTTGCCCAATGCAGATGCGAGGACCTCCATTGAACGGGATGTACCCCCAACCTGGTTTCAGTTTCTCCCACCTCTCCGGCCGGTACACATCTGCATCAGGACCGAAGATTTCAGGGAGACGGTGCATCGTGTATACACTGTACATTACCTCGTGGCCTTTGCGGACGTAGACAGGGGATTTCCCATCAGGACCACCGCCGACAGGGAGGTAGGTATCTTTGTTGGCCATGCGCACATTTATGGGGACAACAGGGTAGAGGCGTAGAGCTTTACAACATATTAGTCTCTTGTGTTTAATTCGGAGCGTCCTGGTGCTTACTCTCGTTCAGAACCCATGTCAGGTAGGTCATCGATTTCAGATCTTCGAACGATGGTTTCCGGCCACCCAGGGTCAATACTTCTTCTCGAAGCTTTTTCCAGATCTCAGGCCGTCTAGCCATCGTAAAGAATGTGATGCTCAACAAGCTGGCCGTTGTGTCGCGACCAGCTAGCAGGATATTTAACAACTGGTCTGTGAGTTCCGTTTTGTCGAGAGTTCGCTTGGACAGCTCGTACAGAAACACGTATTGCTGCTCGTTGAGCTTGCGAGCATCCTCTGGAGCTTTTTCACCTCTATCCATTGCCATTCGATAGTTGATCGCATTCTGCACAAACCTGTCGACATAGGCGCGTGCGTCGACCACTGCTTTGGAGAACTTCCGGTCTCGGTGTAAGAGCATGAGGGGACCAAGCCGAGAGCGGATGGCTAATCCTTCTTGAGCAGTGTTGAAGTCCGTGGCAAAGGACGAGGATGAGGTGGAAGCCCCATCCTTGAGCGAGTGGACCGATTCTCCGAAGAGAAATTCTGTGGCCGAATCAAGGGTCTGCAATGGGTCAGTCAGATACCAGAGAAAAGAAGGGTTGACGGAGGCAATCACCATGCGGAAAAAGAGATCCTGCAGATCCAACGTGGATCCGTCGCGAGGTATCCGTTTCAAGAGAGCGGCGACGTGTGTTTCGTAGACATTGATATCGGTGATCTGGTTGCGAGTAAAATTTGGACGGAGCAGGCCTCGAGAATGCTCCCATTTGCTGCCATCCGTGGAGAAAATACCGGCTCCAAGAAGAGGGCGCAGTGCCTTGTTCCGGTACTCCCCCAGTTCAAAGTCTTTGAATTTGAGCGCTAAAACTGTCTGGACGTTCTTGGGCTCAACTGTGAAAATGATGGTTCGAGCGATCATCTTTGCCTTGAATGTGGTTCCGAATTCTTGATGCCAGCTACGAACAAGCTCGAGAAAGCGATTCTTGCGAGTTGCGGCAAGCATATCTGTGATCATACCGATACCTAATGGTCCGCGCACGACAGTGTGTAATGGTGGTTGGCAGCCATTATCGCGAGCGTACTTCCACTCTGGGCGATTGTCAGCTCTATTGCGATTGACACCCTCAGCTGAAGATAGTCCCATACCGTGAAAATATTGTAAAACATTCAGGAGGGCGAAGATAATAGCCGCAGCTCCAGCAGCCAGGGCAACATAGGGAGTCGCGGAGGTATCAAGAGAAGCCAGTGCCATGATTGCAAGAGTTTGTCGTCGCAAATTCTTCTACACTGTGATATTGATAATAGAGAAAACCAGATACAGCCGTAGGAGGCATCTTTGTATTTAAGCCCGCTCGCTTTGGCACCGTGGAATGGTCTGGCATAGGCCATGTGTCAGGTTACCTCGGCGGTAGAGCCCCCAGCACCTACTCATCCCCGCAGAGTTCTGGGGCAAATCAGATGTCGCTCGACGTAAGCATATTGGAATTTCCGAGCTTATGAACCTAAAATTACTTCCTGAGGCAATCAGCAGCCGCACTGTAGATGCACTATGTTGAAACCTAACGAGGTTTCGGGCTCCCGGCCTCTTATATCCATTTTGGGTATAGATCTAAGATACCCCGCGGGGTTACATAAAGATCGTCATCTGAGAACATCAGACCTCTTACGTAGCTTTGACATCAAAAATGGTGTTTTGGCAATAGGCCGCTCTACCGGGTATGCCAAGAGGAAAGACAAAATAGGTTGGGGGGAGGCATCAGAATCCAGCGAGAGGCTTCTTCCTCGCATGTCCCATCGGACCTAAATTATGCGGCAGGATTCAGCCTAGACCTGTTAACTATCTCATCTACAAGAAAGATTTGTTTTATGAATTCCAAATCGGACGCCTGTATTCCATAACCGACGTTGAGATGTAGCGAGGCGGAGAGAGATAACGGAAATGGATCAAATACTGCATGAACCTCGCTGGCTAGGACATATCCACTTTCAACAAATGAATCGAACTGGGAAACGGAGGGTTGTTTGAAACAAAAGACTGACTTGATTCTCGTATCTCATGGAATACCAAAACTACACATAACTTCGCAATAATAGACAAAATATAGGAATCAGAGTAAAAGACCACAAAACAAAATGACTGTCATCGCGAATAATTCACGCGTCTACTGCCGTCAATCGCGTGTCATCCACATGCTCCACCATCACCTTCGGTTCCTCGCTGGGCTGGATCGGGGCCTCCGCGGCCGGGTAGAAGTCAACCTTTCCTCGTCCCTTGATCACCCCAGTTCGATCCAGGATGGTACGAGCGCGGACATAGGGGTCAAGTGTCCAATAGTTGTCGCGCAGCTGCGCGATCACCTCACTTCGGCAGCTAATCAAAGAATCAACTTGAGGATTTGAGATCCACTCAGAGGTGAGACTGAACAGATCATCGCCAAGCTTCTTCCGGTCCGCAAGAATGGCGTTTCTTGTCTCAGTATCATGTAGCTTGTCATTTTCATGCGGCCTAGGCTCAATGTAGTCATATTCCCAATCCTCGTCACCACCAAGTTCTTTGATAATGTGCTCTCTTGGAATCAGTTGCTCCAAACCCTTAGCACCGCTGAGAAAGTGGACCTTGGCAGCGACGACCGGATCCAGGATGGTACGAATGATTTTCCAGAATCCTGTATTGAGCAGGATAAAGTTAGCTCTAGCACAAAAATCATAGCGAGACAAGTATCGGATTCGGATGGTAGACAGACCAGAGAAGATCCATGGCGCGTTGTAGAAAATTAATGCTCCCAGTGATTCAGGATAGTTCTCTTGGAAATTTTCGATGATGAATTTGATGGGAGGAAAGTCCTGTAAGTCACATGTCAGTTGTTGGATAACATAAGATAAACGCAGGTGCTCGACTTGCCCAATTCGAGAGAGTGAACGAAGTCAAATCAAAGACAATCGTCTAAGTACCCACGAATTAGCCTTTCTGAACAGTTGAATCATACTAAGAGGAAGATTTTTGAGCGCATTGGGCCAATGCCGGACTGAACTAACTATTGTTTCCACAGGAGGAACCAGCATTATACGGACAGTTTCAATGCAATGGACGACGTAGTCGTTCAAGGCCTTTGTTGTCTGTTCATGTGGGTTGTGGAGTCGCACCCGTATGACACAAATGGGGCGGCCGAATTTATCAACACCGTGGAAGTGGCCTTTGCCTGTGCGAAGCTGAAGCACAAAGCTCTCGCCGTTTTTCTTCTCCACGGAGTCCTCTACCTTTCGTGATTGACATAACGCATCCTCTTCGCCTTTTTGAAGGACCTCTTCATCGACGTGGAATTCATTGACTCGCCAGTTGAGGGTTTTGACGAACTTGATCCATGCTTTGGGGACGTTCCATTTCTCTGCACGCAGGTAACGCAGGAGGAGTGCATCAGGCTGATCTTGTTTGAGCATGTTCAGATAGGCTGCGCTGAGCTTGTCGCCATGTAGCTTGGCCAGAAGCGATTGGACCGCTTTGATTTCATTAGAGCCCGCACCCAAGCCTTTGAGAGTGGAAAGCATCTTCGGAGGAATTGCGGACGTTTCGTCTTCCGCCGTGGTTTGCGATCGGCCCACAGTGAAAAATCTTCGATGCGATTTCGCTGTGCTAGCAGAGGCCACCGATGATTTGGCAGCAGCATCAGCGCTGGCGGTACTCGTATCCCATGATTGTAACAGGATCTTCCAGAAATCCCGCAGCTTCTCTTCCTGTGATGCACTGAGGTTTCCAAGAGAGCCGGAAGGGATATCTCTGGTGCCTGCCATGGTGTGTATGTTCCACGATTCAATCGAACTATAATGAAGATAAGAAGTAGAAGATGGGAACTGATCTGTGTTGCCGATGATGCGGGTCTTGAGGAGTTTTAGATCTCGAGTCTCTCGATCCCCTTGGGAAAGCTTTTGAATGGATCATATTTGCTCGTTTTGCCAATCATCAAGACCCTTCTCGAGTCTCTTGAGAGGCGCATCCATGTGATAGTTTTCTGAAGCATAAAATGGCCTCGGTAATATCTGAGATCATTAGGAGATGGAAGAGAGGTAACCGTGGGGTAATCTGCAAGATCAGCAACCTTGCATCTGATAGACAATTAGCGACCAAGACTAACTCGAAAAGGCAGTAATAAACCGGCAAGATGAACCTCAACTTTCCCACTGGAGACAACCCGAGCCGAAGATGGCAATTGGAATGTATTCCGAGGGATCCAGTGCGCCTCCGGAAAAGCAGGTGAGTGATTAACGCCGAGGGCATGTGGGGGAGCCGCACTCGACCAGCATTGCGGTGTGAGGCGTTCAGGGGAGTCTTCCTCTACACAGACGCCGAGTGGCAACCTTATCCACACTAGCGTCTGTGGACAGCCATGTGAGCACGCCTGGATTTTGGCAGATTGGCACCGTTCTATTCCGACTCCATCAGCCACATTGTTTGCAGTTGAGCCATCGGAGCGGGAGAAGACTTTGAGACTGCATGCTGGCGGCAGCCTTCCTTCTGCCCGAGGATGTCCCGGTGGATGCCACGGCGTCATCGTCGAGTGATCCTATTTACTTCATGCCCTGCATATTGAGACGTCGATAACGTAATTCAGAAAGGAGTAACTGACTAGACACTCTTCCGCAACCTTACGCTACGCAATCCAACACTGATCGCTCCCTATCTATCCTTGCTCGAAGATGAACCCTATCCCGCACGCTGACTTGAAAATGACGACGGATCGATCAAGTTCAAAGCACGACGGATAGTTAGGGAAACCTCCTCTCAAACGAACACATTGAATTCGACCGCGATACATACACCCCAGTGGTTTCACCTACGACTCCACAGATCCTATTCGCCGCTACCGTGCACTACAACTAGTCAATTCTCTAAGCAGACGTAGTAATAGCCTTCCTAAACGGGACGCTATGCAATACTATCTTTATGAGGCAACCTCTTAGGTTCGAACAAGGCAATGATCTCTACGAGCTTAAGCAATCGCTCTATAGACTTATCCTATTAGCCGAAATTTGGCCTTACACCCTAACAAGCTATTCCAACGAAGGCTACCTTCCGCGTGTCTCTATACGACGTAGAACTATTCATCTCTACTACGCGACCCTATCTCTACTTGACAACCGACATCTATGATTTCAAAATCGTCGTACAACGTGAAGATGATGCCCACGAAGTAATCAATCCTTTAAAGACTAGATTAGAAATCAAAGACTTAGAGAGAGAGGGGTGAGCCCCGAAGCGGGAAGAAAAAACATTCGAGACCTGCCAGACATTGCCTACCGATCTATATATTTCTCAGATCCAAAATGGCATTTTGGAGGTTACATTGAAGATTTCCCTCTTCTGTTGCCCCCGAAAACGCCACACAATGAACGTCTCCGTGGCGCAATTGGTTAGCGCGTCTGACTGTTAATCAGGAGGTTGGAAGTTCGAGCCTTCCCGGGGACGATCTTTTTGTCCTTCACTGGAAGCAACTCAACTCATTCATCTATTTTTGATCTCATTGAAAAGGGAGAGAAGAAGAAGTGTTAAATTTATTGATTTTGTGTGGGTGGGAAGCTTAAGTTGAGTTTCTCTTGGGTTAACCTTAAATGGGGGCTGTATACTTCAGAAACGTCATTGTTGCATAAGGGCAAACAAACACAAAAATGATATTTATTTTCTATGTCGGGCAATAATTCGTTTCTCTATTCAGGCATACAGCCCTACTATAGTAATCGGCGCATGGCCAGAGAATATGCAAAGATCTAGAGATTTGAGACGAGCGGAGTCGTCACAGGCGCCGCACTCGACGGACACACACAAGCCGACACAGACGTAACCGGCGGCGCCGTGCAGTGCGGACTAACAGTCCAAGGAAGAGAAGACGAAGTAGGTGTACCAGCCACTTTCTCAGCACGAACAAGGACAGGAATAACAGCGCCGGTATTCAGGCTGAAGTCACGGTGCCCCAACACACTAAGGATAGAACCGATCTCACCGGAGTGCGAGGTAACAGAGACAAAGGTGTCTTGCTTAGAGTCGGTAGGAGAGAAGAACACCGACTCCAGAACCTTTCTGCTTCGCTCATTCTGGGCTGCGCTCGTCTCGGCCGTTACCCCGTTCCACAGCTCGTCTTCCTCTGTGAAGCCCCGCTCGATGGGCCAGGATGGGAATAGTTCGTGGATGTAGGTGCGGTTGTGCCGGTGGTCGCAGGTGTGGATGCTGATTCCCTCGCGGAAGAGTTCCTTGATCAGTGGTACGAAGGGCGCGCTTCCGTGGGGCAGATTGAGGCCACTGAATGTGTAGTGGGCGGTTTGGAGGGTGCGTGTGAGCGGGCTGACGTAGTAGCTGTCCGGTGTGTGGATGCGCTGCTCGTTGATTTCCTTTTGCCAGAAGTCGTGGGCGACTAGAGCTTGGCCCACGCCGGCGGTTGTGAGTGCCGCGTCGAACCAGGTGGCTGTACCGTTGCCATCTAGCTCGGCCCAGTAGCACTATGCAAGCCATGTCAGTTGTTGCCATGCGGCTGCGGAGATGTGGAGAGAATGAAACTAGCTTACATTCCATGCAGGAGTTCCGTAGTAGTCCTCCGCGGCATTATGCCACCCCTCTCCGTGGCGCCCAAGGAAGAGAACCTTATACTCAACGTCCCGAGATGACTCCTTGTTGAGAGTGAGGACCTGGTTGTAGAAGCGCTCCCATTGAGTTTTAGCGTGAGGGTTGTGAATGTCTCTGTCCGCCGGATATGTCCGGTTAATGAGCCCAAAGTTCACGGCGGTCTACACCTCCCAGGTTAGCCATAAAACCCTATTCAATGAACCGGGAGTGCTTACATAGTCAAAGGTAGAGGCATCCGTGGAGCTCTCATCCTGCAGGAAATAACCTTTTACCGTCGTGTACTCGATGGAAGCGGCGTGGGCTGACGCAGCAAGGCCCACCAGGGCGGGACCGAAGATGGCTGATAGCTTCATCGGGGGGACGTGACCTAGGCCAAGGAATACCGGAGAAAGCGGGTTTCAGAGAGTTTCGGACAGACTCCGTTTTGACAGTAGAGTTTCTCGGCGCGGAAATGAGTCGATCGGTACGGAGTCGGCGTCCTTTATATCTGCGTGTCATGGAGAAGAAATAATCAGCCGACCAAGCATTCTGTCTCCGCAATGGAATCGTGAAGAGAAGGCCCGAGACCCTATGGTAACATACACGTGGGGGCCCACTAGGCTGTTCCGGGTAAACAATCGAAATCGAGTGCTCGCCGTGACGAGGCAGTTGCGCACTTGCTGATCGTCATTTTATCGGCACCTGTGGGGGGTTTTCCAAACGGAGTTTTTGCCGATCGGGGAAATATTGAAGCGGAATTTAAACCATCAGCCCCTTTTTGGGTATGTATTATTATTGAAATATGAGACCAGAAAATTTGTGTGCAGAACAAGTATAGGTACGTGACAAGGTTCTCAAGCCGTATGTATCAAACGCTGCCAAACCCAAATCCCATCCAAAAGCCGAACCGATTCCAAAGAATGAACTGTGAAGGAAAATAAAGAGTCTTGAGCAGCTTTTGGGTGCTCACCAGAATTAAAAGAGTAAGTCGTATATCGGACACCAAAAAAAAAAGAAAACAGCCCAGGCCAATAAACATAATGCAAAAAAGAAAAGATATGCTCCGAATATGTAAAGAAAACCGCGGTGAGACCACCCCAAGTAGAGAAACAAGAAAGGAAAATATGTAGACGACATATCAAAATCCACAAAGTTGGAATCCCGGCGTGGGGTCAAAAGTTGGAAATGAGGCACCCGTAATTGGAAGAAAGGGCGCGAGGGAACGAAGAAAATGCATAGCAGTTCATCCCAAACAAAAAAAGAGCAGGAAAAAGCAAATCGCAGCACATATCTCATACAGGATCCGTAGAGTTGATCAAGCAGCTCTCATGCAGGGTAGCTGTGGGGGGTCGCGTTGTTCGCAAACGTATAGGCTTTCGGTTTCTGAGTCCCCGGCAGCTGGTGGGCCATGTAGTGATGAGCATCCCGATGCTCCGGAATTTCATGAGGCATCATGAACTCAGCCCGTTTCCTATCCGTAGAGCCCGGCATATCAGTGTCTTCAACCGAGTAGATCAACGACGGTGAGCCTGACACTGGCTCGATCCCAAACGAGTGGCCCGTGTGCTCAATCGCCGAGTCATACCCCATTGGCGAAACATGGCTCGACTGTGGTACTTGAAGACCAGCAGGGAAATCGGGAGAGGCGAGCGAAGGGGCATCCGTCCAGCTTCGTGCGGACATGGGAACCGGGTCACAGGCGGCGGCGTATTCCGGGAAGTTAGTCACATGGGCCGGAGCAGACATCGGAGGCGCAATGTTTTGGTACTGGAAGTGCGAGTACAGGTCCATCGGTGTAGTGGGAGGCGAGGCGATGTTCACTTGCATGGGCTGCGAGGTAGGGAAGAATTGCGTGGCTGAATGGGCCGACAAGCAGTAGTTGCTGTCCGTAGGCGAGTTTGGCATGAAGTGCTGCAGATCCTGCGGTGTCAAAGGGGTTGGAGGAGCCAAGGTAGTAGACGAAACCGACGGCCGCAGCATTTCAGCTTTGGTAGACTTCATGGTCCCGGACTCGGAGAAAGTCGAAAAGTTGAGAGGCGAACGCTGAGCAGCGGACACCTTCCTCACGCCAGCGTACCGAGAATTGAGACTCTGGGTTGACTTGGACTGCCGCACTGAGTGACCGGCGCCAGAGCTCGGCTTGCGATTCGTTGGTGAGAGCGACGACATGGAGGTCGAGGGAGCCAGCGTGCGGGCCCCGGAAGTTCCAATAGCAGCAGGCCGTGGGCGCTTTCGCCGGGCAGCGAGGTCAAGTTCCTTGGCGGGCTCCCTCCACGACGCTCCTCCAGCCCGGGGCAGAGATTGCGACAACCCGGGTTGACCAGGAGTACAGATTCCAATGCCCTCCAAAGAGTTTGACATCGTATCGGACTCACGCCTGGTGACTGAGATACCGGGAGCCTGCATGGGCATAGAGTAAGTGCTGTAGGCAATCCCGATCTCGGATCCTGCGTTCGCGCCATCCCATTCCCCAGCCTGATGATAGTGAGCACCCGCAAACGCGTCCTGGTTCCGATGCGAGCCGGATATGTCATGCAATGGCTGACTGGTCGTTGTGAATGAAGTCGCCTCCGAGGTATTATAGCCGATGGTTTCGTCGGGGCTGCTAGTCGCACCCCACGACGTAGGCTCCTCCTTCGCGTCCCAATCTGGGAAGGCAGCACTGAGAACAGCGTGTCCGCTGTGATCACGACCATGGCTGCTGTTGGGAGCCTTGGGCGGTGCCATGGTGGTAGGAGACATGTCACCTTCCTCGTCCTCCGTCGATCCCTTCTTGGCGCGGGAGTCCTTGCCTCTGAATCGATCGCGGGCTGCAACAGCAGCATTGAGAGCTCTCTGCAGAGAAGCAAAAGTTGCCTCGCGGGCCGTCTCACTCTTTGTCTTGTGGTGCTTGGAGGCGGATTTGAGAGACTTGGTGGGGCTCTTTGAAGGACCTTCGGAGGTGGATGCCTCCGGTGCCTTCTTGACAGGGGAAGATTTCTCAGGTTCTTCCTTGGACTTGGTGCCCGACTGCCGGGACTCGGAGAGCTGGTCCAAGGTCTCGGACTTTTGGCGAGCAGCTTCTTCCGCTTCGGCCTTGGCTTTCTGCATCTTCTCAAACTCCTCCTGGCGTTTCTGCTGCTTGGCCTTTGCACGTCGATTCTGGAACCAGTTCTATGAAATAGGAATTAGTTTATAATTTTACTAAAAAAAGGGTCAGCGTAACTCACTGCAACGCGAGGCAGGCTCAAGTTCGTCTGAGCCGCCAATTGGCGCTTGACGTTGCTGCTTGGCTTCGGGTGGGCTTGGAACTGGGCCTCCAGCGTCTCGACCTGCTCTTTGGTCAAGCGAGGCCGGGACAGGTTTTCTGCGTATTCCTCGTAGTCCATGATCGGCTGGTGGTAGTAGTCCATCATGTCCATTGGCGGGTGCGGATACATGTACCCGTCGATGGGATGCATCATGGCAGGAGGCACCATGGAGGGATCGTACGCGATGGGCTGGTCCATCGGGATGCCCGCATGGCCGGCATAGTTCCACGAAGGGTGGATATAGCTCATGGTTAGGTGTGGAGTGAGCGGGAGGGAGGGAGTGGTGGAGCGATGAGAGAGCGAAGTGAGAGCTGCACGGGAACGTCGCAGCTTCGAGGGTCGAGGTCTATATCATCGAGGGGGGGTGTGATAGAAGTGATCGACCGACTGGTGGCGATGGGGGAGAGCCGGAGGGACCCTTGGAGGCAGTTGAAAGTGCAAGAAAAAGGAATGAGTGAACGATGTCGCAGGGTCTGGTTGGTAAAGGAGAGAATGGTGGTTTGGGGAGGGGAAGGTATCAAAGGAGTGGACGTTCCAGATGAACAGGAACTAAACAAAAAAAAGAAAAGAAAGACAAGGAGCGTCAAGAAGGCGAAAAAAACAAAAGGGTGTGTTGTGTGTGTTTGGGGGTGAAAGAGAGAAGAGAGTCCAGAGGATCGAGAGTCGACGGAGTGATTGGGGGGGGTGGAAACACGGGGACGGGCTGGGCTGGTACGGGACGGTAACCGCAACTAGGGGCGGGCGGGCTGATTGGGCGGCCCTGAGCGGGTACTCTGGATGAAACCTGGTTGGGGCCAGATGTTTACCCTGCACTAACTATGCCGATATGCATAGGAGTGTATTTTTTTTTCTTCAGGGAAAAATGATGGCTAAATGGTATATGAATGATCTCCACCGTCGGTATTACTGTATTTTCACGGTGTACACAAGCCAGGCCGCCACCCCCTAGAGTGAAAAAAGGTAAACAAACGAGATCCAGGCCGATGATCCCGCGGTCACAAAATTACAGGGCAGTTCCTGCATTAGCGCCATGTCTGAGCCCAGGAGTGTTACCACGGCCAAGTTCCGTGCCATAATCAGCGCAGAAGTACGAGATACTAAGATACCCGATCTCCAGAGCGCTGGGTCAGACGATCGCGATTCCCAAGATCCCAAATGGATCAAAAGGGATCGTCGACAGTGGTGACGATATGCTCGAGACTTTTCTGGCCCCCCTCCCCGTGTTGGGCAGCGTGGCACTCGGCCAAGACCGGCTAAACATCAATAGTGCACCGATCCTGTCGATCTTTGCCCGGGGATCTGCCGAGCTTTTTTTCTCAGTGACACAATCGCCTTCCCGGGTGGCCGGTTAGCCCTGGTTCGGATAGAGATCTCCATGCAAGTATATCACGAGGGGTACGCAGGGCGATCACTGTGATTGGGATGTAGCGGAGAGACGTGGAGCTACATACACTGTCAATCGTTGAGAATCATGGGCGGGGGGATATTGGCTTTCTCTCTGATTGACGCGTTGACAGTAAACGTCCCAGGGCCCAGTCGATCACGGGACCATCTCCTTCCTTGCCCAAGTACAATGTATGAGGATCAGCCCCAAAGGCCCTCCAACGCTCCAGTAACCCCGAGGAACTCGAGTTACACTTGCAGCGGGGGATGATTGCGAACAGGGATGATCCCTCCTCGTCTTTCCCGGAGAAATCATCCGAGAAACCCGCTCTCTACAGACATCCCCGAATTGTAATGGTTCATGATTCACCCCTCAGTCTGAAGACAGAACCATTGGCGCTTATCTGGAAAACCTTGTCTCCCGTTCGCGGCAGCCATGGGGTGCCCAGCTGCCGTCCGCTCGCGCTTCTTCACGTGCAGAAAAAAGAAGAAGCTCAGGGGCGGCCAGATCGAGAATCCCCGAGCTGCCGCGCACACCCTACGTACTAGTTGGCCCCATCCTAGGCCTTTCTCGTCCCATAGCCGGCCCCCATTGATGGAATTTGCAGGAAACACCAGAACACGACATGCCTCGGGCAGATAGTTAAGATTCCCCCCGCTCTTTCCACTGGAGTCGATCTGCGCAGCGCGTGAATGCCGCACGGATCGCTGGCGCCCCATCTAACTATTGGGCATCTGGCGTGAACCGTTGTGTCGGGGAAGAATCTCAAATACCCAGAGCCCGGACGGATGGGACAAGACGAAGGATTCCGGAGCAATTCGTTGGCGGATGCACTGATCGACCGGGACGGTGTGACAGCAGCCAGCACCACTCGAGCCAGCACAATACAGTACTAGGTCGGGGACTACTGAGCAAAGGATCTTCGGATCGGGGCGCCCGTCCCTGTGTCCTGTGCAACCAATCCTGTGGTCCCCGCTTAATGCATCCTGCTTTAGGTCTTTCGTTGCGGGATGCCTGGAATTCCAGCCTGGGCCCGTATAGTTAGTGACCTCTCCTGCAAGTGTCGGCACTCGGGGCTTCTCGGTGACAATAATGTCCCTGCCAAGTAGGCAGGAGGGTCCGATCTCCAATGTGACATGTCTGATCGACCCGATGCCTCCGATCCCTTGTGTGGCTTACCTGGATCAGGAAAAAGAAAATAACAAAAACAATCTGTGGCGGTGCGCGAGTTCTCCTCCTTCACACCAGTAACTATCTGATGGATGCACGTATTTGTCACAGTGGATGTGTGTGATGGTCACAGGGATCCCTTCAGCCACAGGCGCCCACCGGGCTTAGGGCTAAGACTTCGATTTCATGGTCCGGATCGGAATCCTCGAAGTACGTGATACTCGTTCATCACATCTCTGTCTGTACTTAGTACACAAATCATTCTGTACAATATACAGTCAGTCCAGGGCGTGAGAACGCAGGATACCAGCTCGAGGCAAGTACTATTGTGATAGTCAGGAGTATGCATTGGTGTACAGAAGCAGCAGCAGCCCCTCGACCCGTGCGCCGCATGCAACCTGACCTCTCTCTTTTCTCCCTTGCATCCACGTTTTGCAAAAAAACCTGGAAACCATACGTACTCGGGTACCCAAGGTACATACATGCAGTACAAAGAAACAGCTTTTTCCCCCTTCTCGAGCTCTGCATAACAATGCTTATTGTTGCCCGGGCAAAAACCGCTTCGACGCATCTGAGGACTGTTGTTGAGTATGAACAGCGGTTCCCAGGGCAGCTGAGGCGCCACTCACGTCGAGGGTCGGAGGAGGCGCCCGCTGCTGAAGGTTCAGCCGCGTTGGAGATCCAGGCGAAGAAATTAAATTGGACTGGGAGCTGTGGTCACACATCACCCTGCAGACAACATGCTCGAGTCACTGCTGGATGACAGAGGAGAGATCAGAAACAAGTGCTGTGCAAAATTAAATGATCCATAGCGTTTCAATATATGTAGTCTAGATGAACCGAAAAATATACAGTGCACATGAACCATCTGAAACACCGGGGTCCCCTCTTTATAGTCATGAATTCTAGTCCAGCGCATTCACCTGAATTGGTGCACACCTTAACCTATTGATAGGCATTCTTGATCTCAAGCTGGACGCGCCCATCCTCAACGCTCTTGACGGAAATGCTGCGCAGGTCCTCGACGATCCAGTCGGCACCGGCAACCTGGAGCTGCTCCAGCGAGTGGGTCGTAGTGAGCGCAATGACCTTGAATCCGGCTGCCTTGCCGGCCTTGATCCCCGAAGGCGCATCTTCCAGCACCACAATCGACGAAGAGTGCTCGAGGCCCAGCTTCTTCCGGCCCAGCAGGTAACAGCGCGGGTCTGGCTTGCCCAGCTCCACATCTTCCGCCACCACCAGCATCTTTGGATGTGTCAGGCCCAGCACTTCCAGCCAGCCGTCAATCAGCGCGCGCGTGCCGGATGTAACGACGCCCCAACGCGCGCCTGAGCTCTCCAGTGCGTCGAGTAGATCCCGGCCGCCGGGAATCTCACGGGCGTCGGAGCCATATTCTTTCGGGATTCGGCCTTCAATGAAGTTGACATCTGGTGGAAGGGGTCATGTTAAATCTATTTCAGTGAGGTATATCATAGTAGTATACTCACATTCCCAATTGGCCTTGCTGGGGTCGTATAGTTGCATGGTGTCAATGCTTCGTCGGCCATGCGAGGTGGCTAAAATAGTCTCTGGGTCGACACCCAGCTCACTAGCAATTCTGATCGAGATAAATAATGAGAAACGCTGCGATATCGGGATTGGCATCGTTGGGACACACTTACAGGTGCCAATGCTTGATAATTGCTGTTCGAAGCACGGCAGTCAGCTCCGATTCCATTGCGACTGGGGGAGAGGTGTGCACCATCGGTCGAGTCCACAATTGTTCCATCAAAGTCGGACAGCACGCCGTCAAACGAGTAAACCTGCGGTGGCGCGGAGAAAGTGCCTGTGGCGGACGGAGACATGGCGGGGGCGGGGGTGAGGGGAGATGCGCTGCGGGCGAGGTGATGTTCCGAGAGGAAGTGGGATAGGTATAGGCTGAGAAGCAAAATAGCGAATGAATATACGTAGGGCGGTAGAGACTGAACCCAGATCCTGGCAAGAAATCAAAAAAAAGAGGAAAGAAAGAAGGAACATTGAAGTAATTATCGGACTGACCTGAATCGAGTAGATCACCCGACCGGAGATCGGCAAAACTATTGTTCCGCTTATCGCACTTTTTTTTTCCCGATTTTGTTGCTTTCTTGTCTTGGCTTCACGTTGTGTTTTCACATCAGAGGGTGCCACCATGGTCAAGATAGGTATGAGTTTTGGTTGTCTACCATGCGATTGGACATGGAGAATCTAACCCAGGTCAACAGGCAAGCACTCCAAGCGGACGCCCGTCCGTTTACGGCACAAGATTCAGAAGTCGTCGGTGGCTAAGCAGAAGAAAGAGCGGAAGCTGGCTAAGAAGGTATTTATTTCCTGCCGTGGGCCTGTTACCGCAGATTCTGACTGACACCCCCTGTCATAGAACCCAGAATGGCGGTCCAAGATCAAGAAGGACCCCGGCATTCCCAACCTCTTCCCCTTCAAGGACAAGCTTCTGCATGAGATCGAAGAGAAGAAACGCCTGAAGTCAGAGGAACAGCAGCGGATTCGGGAGGAGGCTCGCGCTCGTCGCAGCCAGACCCAGCCAGACGCAAATGGCAATCAGGCAGCGGACCTGATGGCCGAGGACGACGATTTTGTCGACGACATGGATGCAGACGACTCTAACCCGATGGCTGCTCTCCTTGCCTCGGCACGGGCCCGGGCTACCGAGTATGATGACGAGCATGAGGATGAGGAGGATGACGAGGACATGGATGAGGACGAGGAGGATGAAGATGAAATGGACGAAGACGACGAAGAAGGTGGCGCGGCGCTGTCTGCACCCGATCTGATCTCTGCGGAGTCTTTCACCAAGGAGGGGTCCCGGCGTGCTTTCGACAAGGTGTTCAAGCAGGTCGTCGAGTCCGCTGACGTCGTGTTGTATGTGCTCGACGCCCGCGATCCCGAGGGCACCCGGTCGAAGGAGGTGGAGCGCGAGATCATGGCCGCGGACGGCGGATCCAAGCGTTTGATCCTCATCCTGAACAAGATCGATTTGGTTCCGCCACCCGTGCTGAAAGGATGGCTGCTGCACCTGCGGCGATCGTTCCCCACGCTTCCGCTGAAGGCGTCCAACGGCTCCGCCAACGCACACAGCTTCGACCACAAGCAATTAACGGTCAAGGGCACCTCCGAGACGCTCTTCCGGGCGCTCAAGTCCTACGCCCACAGCAAGCAGCTCAAGCGGTCCATCTCCGTCGGCATCATCGGGTACCCGAATGTCGGCAAGTCGTCTGTGATCAATGCGCTCACTGCACGTCTCAACAAGGGCTCGAGCAACGCCTGTCCGACTGGTGCTGAGGCCGGCGTGACCACCAGTCTGCGTTCGGTCAAGCTCGACAATAAGCTTAAGCTGATCGACTCGCCGGGAATTGTGTTCCCCAGCGCTGGCGAGAAAGCCAGCAAGAAGTCCAAGAAGCAAGACGAGCAAGCACGCCTCGTGCTGCTCAATGCAATCCCGCCCAAGCAGATCGAGGACCCGATTCCGGCCGTCAATCTTCTGATCAAGCGGTTGTCCTCGTCGGAGCACCTGATCGCCAAGATGCTGGAAGTGTATGGCATCCCGCCTCTTTTCCCATCCAATGGTGACAAGACCACCGACTTCCTGATCCAGGTGGCTCGCAAGCGCGGACGTCTGGGGAAGGGTGGTGTTCCCAATGTAGAGAGTGCAGCCATGACCGTCATCAACGACTGGCGGGATGGCCGCATCCAGGGCTGGGCCAATGCCCCCGTGCTCCCTGTGATCTCCTCGACCGATGCCGCTGCGGCGACGAACGCTGAACCGGGCGTTGATACCGTACAAGTGGTCAACGAGTGGGCCAAGGAGTTCAAGATTGAGGGCCTTTGGGGTAATGGCGAGGGCGAGGACGAGGAGATGGCCGAGTAGACCTGTCATTGTTTTTATTTACGGATACCAAAAGTAGGCGTTTTGGCAAAATCCAGCATTTATTATCATTGAATCCTGCAATCGTGAATAAAAAGCCTTGTTGAACATAGTCCGCTCCAGAGTTACTGCGTGGGCCATAGTATGTCGTACTCGCTCCACCGATCCTCTTCCGCCCGCCCTCGCGTCGCGTTCCTCTTCTTCCTTCCCTCCCACCACCACCCTCCCAAGTATACACCCCATTCTTGCGACCTCCCCTCTGGGTTCCCGCGGATGCGAATGATATTTTAGCCTCCCCTCCCAACTCACCACCCGGACAGACCGCCAAAATGCCACCGCGCAAGTCCACCTCATCGGTCACACCCGCTGACCCGGACGAGTCAACGCAGTTGTCCCCAACGCAACACCCCGAAAAGAACATCACGGCAACGGAGCAGCAGCTCAAGGCGCGCGCGGAGCTAGGTGTCAGCGTCGAGGTACACCATACGCCCTCACTCACCCCACCTTCGAGGGATATCACTAACTCCGTTCGTTCACAGGACTACCTCCTGCCGCGCTCGCTGACGATACGACTGGCTAAAGCGGCGTTGCCGCCGAATACGACTATCCAGAAGGATGCCGTGCTGGCTATTCAGAAGGCAGCGACGGTGTTTGTGTCGTATCTCTCGTCTCAGTAAGGACTACCTTTTTCCATCATTCTTACCTTTTTCCATCATTCTTTACGCTCATTCCCTATCCCGGAAGACCATTCTTGTCCTACAATACCCTTCCCTTGAATGAATTGTTTATTTAAACACCTACTTGAAGAATACTCGCTAACACCAAGAAAAGTGCCAACGAATCAACCCTCAAACGCACCGTCGCACCGGCTGACGTGCTAGCCGCGCTCTCGGAGCTAGAATTCGACTCCTTCCGCCCGCGCCTCGAGCAGGAACTCGAAGCGTACACGCAGAGCAAAGCCGACAAGCGGAAGCCGAAGAAAGCCGAAGGAGAAGAAGGGCCAGCCGAACCGGCTGCGACTTCTACTGAGACTGGCGCTGCGGGGGCTGCGCTTGTTGGAGATGACGGCGACGTGGAGATGGAGGATAACCCTGCTAAGCGGGTGAAGAGGGATGAAGGGGGTGTTGTTGCGGGACAGGATGTTGATGAGGATGAGACCCAGGAGGAGGAATTAGAGGATGAGGATGATGAGGAGGAGGAAGAGGAAGAGCACGAGGATGAGGAGGATGATGAAGGGGAGGAGCAGGCTGAGGGACGTGGACATGAGAATGATATCGACCACGTCGAGGATCTAGATCGGGATCCGCGCCAGCGTGGGATGATGGATCCTGATGCTGATGAGACGGATGAAGATGACGGGCCGGCGAGCCAGTTGCGCGATAATATGGGATTGGGATAATTGTATCTGTCTGGCTTGTTTGGATGATTGATTGGATTGCCGTTTCTGTATAATATACCTCATCTCATTCACGAATGGATTCATGTTGCACTTGCACTACATTTGACCTGATATACGAGACGAGACGATTCTCAAAAAGAAATTATAAGTAACCAAAGACGTAAAATTAAAGGATACTGTCATAGATGCAGATGCTCCATGGGACCATTCCCACGCCATGAGAAATGTAAAGAAACACAAAAGACTCCCTGAAAACCCACACCTGCCAAACACCAACCCATGCAACAAAACAACCGTGGTCTATCGTTGGCATCTTTCAAACCAGTGACTGCGACATTGCCATAGAAGAAAGAAACACAACCCGACAGAAACCAAAGAAAGCAAGAAACGCCATCATGGCTTTGGAACAGCCACTATGCATGCCCATGATAATACCCACTTGACAGAAAAATGAACAAGAATTAAGAACATGTTGCTGTCTACAACACTTCGGATGGAGTTGTGTCGGGCGTGATAATAGCTGGCTTTGAGACCAGGCCAGGGAACATAAGGCCATTCATGCGCGCAGCACCAATCGGGACAGGATGCATTGGTTTGCCGTCGATCTTGAGCTTGCTGGTCGTGCCCGAGGTCTTGGAAGACTTGCTGACCTTGGTGAAGGAAGTGATCTTGGCTGTGGTGGCCCCCTTGGCCGTCTTGGGGACAGCTTTGGATACCTTGGAGGGCTGCGGTTTCCGAGCGGGTTTCTTGGAGGCGGCCGCAGTAGTAGCAGCCTTCTTGCGACCACCCTTGGCGGGGCCGGTGGTCTTGTTGGCCTTGAGGACATCGTTGAGATTGCGGCCGCGGCTGGCTGGGTTCGTCAGCTTGCCTATAGGCTTCTCGTCGTTGCTGGACGAGGGTGTGAATAAACCGGTGTCGGCACGGGGCTGCTTGGTGGGTGTCTTGCTGACCACCACGGAGACCGCATTGCGTGCCTTGTGAACCTCGACGTCGGACGACGAGCACTCCTCGTGCAGGCGACGCTTGGCCGGGATGACGGGCTCGGGTGAGGACTCGAGGCATGGCGTTGAGTCGTCCCACTGCTTCAGATTGACCATACGTGCCACCTGGTCACAGGATCCCTGAACGATGAGGTCGAAGCAATTCTCGAATTCCTTGCCGTTGGGCGGTTCGTTGTTGATCCACATAGTGACGCCGTCCTTGCGACTGCGGATAACGGTGCACAGGCTCTTGACCAGTCGGCGCACTCCGGGAATCTTCAAGCTGGTGCCAGCGACAATCAACACGCGGGGACGCGACTTGATGTCAGCGTTCATGACGGATGTGATGGCTTCCTCGTCCGGGTTGTGTTCGTTGTACAAGACAATGCGGGGCCGCATGCGTCCAACGCCATGGCTGCGCTGGCCGGTTTTTTCACGGAAATCGTTCTTCACCGAGCACTCGGAGCAGGCGGGCGCATCTGGTTGGTTGAACATGTCGCGGTCAAAGTCGCACAGGTAGCGACATTTCTGGCATACCATCTTCTCGAGGCTGCCATGCAACTGGAT